GTGGACTCACAAAGTCGAATTACTGTCCTTAGTGTGTCCTTAGTGTGGACACACACGTTCGACTTTGCAATATCGATTCCACATATTCGATTTAAGTAAAATCGAATTACCCTCGTAGTGTAGACATACCCTTAGGCAGTAAATCAGCAGTGCTGCTGAACTCAATCCATGAGAATGAATGAGTTAGTTAACTTTCTATTGAGAGCCTCATTCTGCTACCAGGTTGGGCTGATGATACAGAGATGATGTCCTAACCCAGTGTCCCATCATCTGTGAACGTGGCCCCAAGATGGAGATGAGAGCAAGAGCAGAGTGGGTCCTGTTGCTTTCTGTCATACTGGGACAAACAAGAAGATAGGAAAGGCTTTATTCAGACGGAAGAATTCACTCCCTGAGACCTTACTGCTGAATTCTGCAGAACTCTGAGGCTAATACTAATTTATTGCTCTAATTCAGAACAAAGTAACAGAATATTGGGGTGAGGGATAGCTCAGTGGTTTGAACATTGGCCTGCTAAACCCAGGGTTGTGAGCTCAATCCTTGAGGGGGCCATTTAGGGTTCTGGGGCAAAAATGTGTCTGGGGATTGATCCTGCTCTGAGTAGGGGGTTGGACTAGATGACCTCCTGAGGTCCCTTCCAACCCTGATATTCTATGAATGTGACTATAACTTTTGCTGTATTAAGGGACCCAACTGGAATGCTTCCCAGGGCCTTCCAGGTTTGCTTCAACTATCCTTGCTGCCATTATAGTTGCTAATTATGGTAATGAGTTTTTTTGTGTTTGTGTATGTCTGTGTGCATGTGTGTTTAATTAAGAGCACACATACACAACATGGGAACTTGCCAAATTAATTTCACATAGGGTGCTGAACAGCCACCAAATAGATATTTCATCATTGTATCTAATAGAAAGGAAAATACTGTTCAACAATAAAAAAGGGGTCTGTTCTCGCCTGCATAATGTAACTCCCCTTGAATGGAATAGAAGATACAAATACGTAACAAAGATAGCATAGATTGCTATATTTGCTCAAAAATCTATATTTTGCAGGTTTAGATTCTGCAATCAAAACAGTCTTCCTAGTTGGTCAAGTATAAAGTGCACTGAAATGAGTTTTCACTTTTTAAAACTAAGTACTGTACATCTTACAGTTTAACCTCATGCAAATCAAAGAGGGCAACTATAACTCTTAAGGAAAACTTGGAATATGAATAAGTGATTGGCCAATTACTATGAGAAAGCTGTTCACAAATGCAGTTTCCTATCCATATCTTTATTTGAAAATTATTTTAAAAGAAACAATTTTTTCCTAGCGGAGCCATAATTTCATTTATGGCTTTTTAAGTCGTACAATAGTGGGTTAGTCCTTTTCAACGTAAGTGTCTAATTAGTTTGATGGATTTTAAAAACCAGCATTTAGGTCCAAAACCTAGGAAGTTAATTCCAGATAAATTTGATTTCAATTACTGTCAAAAGACTGATATTTATTCTGCTCTTACCTTGTGCAACTTGCTTGAAAGAACACCTGTAAAAGATCAACAGTTGGTTTTGCTTACAAAAGTCCACTAGAAAAATTTTCTCCATACAGAATTGTGAATGGCTGGGATTCCTTACCTCCTGTGCCAGTCTCGTCTCCTGACAGACAGTATTTATTTTCAGGAAGGTGGACATCATGTTCCAAATCACTAGTATGTATATTCTATAACAATATTTGAGTTTTAGTGAGTGCAAAAACACAGAAACTAAAAATATATGGTAACTATGACAATTTAGGTTTAATAACTTTATGAACTGTAGCGAGGAAATGGAGAATGGAGAGAGATGTTAACAGGAATAGCTGTGGGATAGAGAAATTATATGAAGTAAAGGTACATTGCCACTTGGCCTGCTGGGAGACCTTGGGCAAGTCAATTCACCTCTCTGTGCCTCACTTTCCCCATCTATAAAATGGGATAATATTGACCTCTGAAATAAAGTGCTGTGTGATCTACTGATGAAAAATGATATATAAGATCTAGGTATTATTATTGTGTGTGCCAGAATAAGAAATAAATTGAAAAGATAATATTGTGCATTCATATCATGCCTTTAATATCAAAGTATCCCAAAGCAATTTACAAATCACAGTCCTGATCCTGCACAGGGCTTCATGTGGGCAGACCTTTTTTCCTTTGCAAAGTCCTATTAATTTGACTGGGGCTCCAGATGAAAGGGTGAGTCTGTCTGTATAGGGTTCATTACGGGATTGGGGCTTTAGGGTTGTGCATAAGTAACTGCAGGCATGAGAATTACCACTGGCTTTTTCAGTAAGACTACTTGTGTGCATGAAGTTATGTCCTTGTGGAACCCACTGTTTGGTAATGTGTGTGTCCTCCTCTGCACCTGATCCACAGAAGCGCTGAGTGTCTTACAACCCCAGCTGCAGAGCCTGACCCTCGTTGTGACAGCCTGTAGCCACTCATGCTTTCCGTTTCGTAGGGGCACGTTTTAACCTTGAGTGGGGGTCAAAGCTGGCGGCTGTCACGTCTGCAGACTCAGGAGCCGGAGCAGAAGCAGCGAGGTGAAGAGGGGGATCACAAGCAGTAACCACCACGGAAAGGGAGCGAGCAAGTAGGGAACTGGCACCACAGTCCCGGACTCCCAGCTTTAAGGCACGTAGACTCATGTTTGGTGCCCTCGAGGGCAGTGGTTTAAGTTGTATTTACAAAGACAAACAACCAGCTGCTACCCCCCACCCCCGGACCCGCCCAGACCAAGCACACGTGGGGGCGATGGCTCCGCTCTGCTCCTGCAGCAGCGAGGCGGGGCGCCTGTACCTGGCGGGAGTCGGAGAGGCTGGTGAGCGGGAGGCTGGTGCCATAGATGCCGCCTGTGAAGTCCCCTCTGTCCACAGCGCTGCAGCGCCGGCTCCTCCTGCCAAACCTGGGGGGAGAGAGCGCAGGGGCGTGAGAGGGGGGCAGCCGCCGGCCGGTGTACTGGCCTGGGGCTGGAGCGGCCCGCTCCCCCCCACCTACCCTCGGAAGCTCCCGGGTGTCTGTATCGCGGCGGCTCCGGCCCCGCTCCCGGCCCGGTGCATCGGACCCTCCCGCCGCCACCGCCGCCTCCGCTTCGGCCACCCCCGCGCTGCAGCGTCCCTGGCCCCGCCCCGCGTCACAGGGAATCACTATGGGAACGGGCCAGGGCCCAGCCGCTGCCCCGGCCCCACAGAGGCCTGTCACCCAAAGGGGGGGGCGCCCCATCTCCCTTCGTTTCTCCTCCCCCCTGGAGTATTTCCCTCCTCCACTCTCCACCTTCACATCTTCATCCTCAGTGCGCCTTGTCTCACATCTGCATGTTTGCCTGGCTCCACCGCTACAACAGTGCCTCAGTTCCACCACTGAGGATGAAATCCTCAACCTAGGCCTTCATCTCCTCTCCCCTTGGCTAGTGCAGGTCCTTTGTCTGTGGCCTCTCCACGTTCCAGTTCTCCTGACTGCAGCATATACAGAATGCAAGGCCAGATTTTTTAGTCATACAAAAGGAGAGCAACTGTATAACTCCTTCTCAAATAACTCAGTTGGGTCCTTATTTGTTTAGGATCCAGTTTGTATATATCCGCCCAGAACTTGCTCTAGGTTTTCTTCTGCTCCCTGTCCTGCTCATTAAGCACCAAGCTCTCCACTCCATTTCTTCACACAATCTCACCTCTTCCAGATGGAGAGTCATCGCTGTGGCTTTGACCAGCTAAAACAGCCTTTCTGTATAGCTCTGTTCTTCATGTATTTCTCCATTGCATCCCACTCCAGTACCAACTTAGTTGGTACTGCTTCCATCACCAGTGTGGTGCAGTTAGCTTCTGTCCAGCTACCTTTACTACATGTGGGGACTTAATAGCTATGCCAGAATCTCCCCATCTTCATGTCTCACTATTATCAGCAGCTTCCTCCCTGACGATTTTTCTACACTCATCATCTTCACAGATATCCATCTCTCAACCACTCTCTTCAACTTCCTCAGATTCTGCAGAGATCAGTACATCCTACAGAGAAGATGTATTCTGTTCTGTTATTCTGAGTCTTCCTCTTTAGATACAGCAGAAGTCCTCCAAGGATTGCCTCCTCTTTTTTTGGGTCAGTTCATGAGGAAGAACCAGCGAAAGGGATGTCAGGGCATTCTTTCTCTCACTGCAGGAGTTCTGGCAGATTACAAGTTCCATGGATTCCTCCACTTTGGCATCATATGGCCTATCCTTATGGTAACCAGTCCTGGCCTTACTGGAACCCTCAACTTGATTAATCTGCTGCATATTCTTTGAGAGTCCCTTTGTCCAGGAATAGGTCATGTCCTACTGTGCAGCCTTCAAGATTAGTGCAACTATCTTGGCAGAGTGACCCTCGTGATTTGGGAGAGGAAATCCAAAGTGAGGATGATGATCATATGTATCCTTCCATTCCTTTGACAATTTCTTCATCTTTGCTGGATTAAGTGGTCAATCTATCTAAGATGGACCATTTAAAGACTTTTCAAGGTCTCCTAAAGAGGATGGCTGACACCTTAGAAATCCTTTGGAAGTTGTACAAGAATAGTAACATAAATAGTTTGATGCATTACACCGTGCAATTCAAGGTCGATTGGCAATGCCCATACACAAAGGTATCCTTGAACCAGTCAGGGATCTATGGCAGACCCAGCCTCCATCTTAGCTATTTCCCAAACAAAAAGAGCATCTATACTGAGTCCTTCCAAAAGGTTTTGAGTATTGTTATACTCCTCATGTTCCAGCTCTTTAACAGTGGCTGCTGTTCATGAGAAAGCTAAGCAATACAGTTAGCCAAAGTCAACACCAAGGGGTAAACATTTGAAAAAAATAGACCTATTCAGGAGAAGGTGTATTCCTGCACTAGCTTTCAGATTGCCAATTACCATGCTTAGCTAGCCAAATATGACTACCTTCAATGAGACAAGATTTCCTAGTTTATAGGAAAACTTTCAGAGGACTCAAGGGTAGAGCTAAATTCCATGTCCTTAGATCAGCTGATTGATAAGGTGGCTCTACTAGCAGCACTGGATGCATCTGACAAAGACACAAGAATAATGGCCATTGCTGTCACCTTGCAGAGGACATCATGGCTGCAGTCATCAGGCATTCCAAAAGGGGTCCAGTCTACAATTGAGGACCTTTTGAAGGTCATGAATTTTTTAATTCAAAGACCAATGAGGGATTTCACTAATTAAAAGATTCTAGAGTGACATTTTGATCCCTGGACTCATACACTCCAGCCCAGAGGAGAAAGCAGATTAGGTCTCAGTCTTTTTCTAAAAGACAGAGATCACCTTTATTATAATTTTACCACGAGAAGTCCTCAGAACCCTCTAAGAAAAGACCTCATTTTCAGAGGAAGAGCAGTTTGACACATAACATCTGGCCTGAAGGCACAAGTTTGTGGCCACAGTCAACAGTCTTGAACTAATTTAAAAGGATCTATAACTCCTCCTCCTTCCATTTGGCAAACACTTGTCTCTTGTTGTTGGCAACCATCTTTCTTTCTTTTTGGATGCATGGACTGGAATCGCTATTGACTGCTGGGTCCTCAAAGTTATCCAGAAAGGCTATTCAGTTCAATTCTAGTCATAACCAATTTTTCACCTCCCAGCTTTCTCCATTCTCAGGGACACCTCTCATGACAGCCTGCGACAGCAAGAGCAAGACTCTCCTCTACATCTGAGTGCAATAGAGAGGGTTTGGGGCAGAGGATTTTTTTACTCATTCAAAGGAGAGCAACTGAGTTTTGGGGCAGAGGATTTTATTCCCATTACTTACTTATTCTGAAGAAGAAAGGAGAGTAGCATCCCATATTGGACCTCAGGTGACTCAAAAAGTTCATCCATAGTCTTCAGTTCAGGATGGTCACCTTAGCCTCTACAATCTCCTCCCTAGATCTACTGGATTGGTTCACGACTCTCAGCTTACAGGATGCATACTTCCCAATCTCCTCTCCACCCCACAGGAAGTACATGTAATGGTGAAGGAAATTCATTACCAGTTCCGAGTGCTATCATTTGGTTTTTCTGTGGCACGAAGGATGTTCATCAACTAGTGGTGGTAGTAACGCATCTGTGAAGACAAGGTCTTCACATCTATCCTTATCTCAATGACTTATTGATTCAGGGGAAATGGCCACAGCAGGTCACCAAGACTGTGTAGGTGGTTCTCCATGTATTCTCCTTGGTAGGCCTCTGGATTAGTCAAATCTGCTCTCACTCCTATTCTGTCAATAGAGTTCATAGGAACACTTCTCAACTCAAGATCAGCAAGCTTACCTTCCTCACAACAGATTCTGCATCATAGGGCATCTCATATTAGCTCTTTACACTCAAAAAAACCCATCAATCTCAGTTTATTGGGTCATAGATTCTTTTGCATTTATGCAATGCTGCATGCCAGACTTCATCCGTGTCTTCTTCAGGGTTGGTTAACATGGATCCATCTGCGAAGCAGACACATCATGAATGTACAAGTCCTTCCCCCTGGGGTTTTATCATTTCTGCTATGGTGCAAGAATCTGAAAAATGTCTGCCAAGGTGTGATGTTCACATCACCATCCGCTAGTGCTAGAACTCAGGGTCATTAATTTGGCTTGTGAAGCATTTTTACTTTTCATCAAGGGACCACCATCCAAATCCTGATAGACAATATTGCAGTGATGCACTATGTAAACAGACAAGGAGGAACAAGATCATCCCCTCTGTGTCAGGAGATTATTCATCTATCGGTGTGGTGAGTTCGGCATTGTCAGTTTGATAGCCCTGCGCTTGACTGGGGTTCAGAATAGTTTCGTAGGCCAAGTCAGCCGGAAGTGCTCTTCCATTCATAAATGAACCCTGAAAGGTTCAGTCCCCACAGTTACAAAAAATTTATGGGACGTTTCCCCCACAGACTTTTTTGCAACCAACTCAAAGAAGAAGTATTACATTATTTTGCTCCCAAGGAGGAATGCGCCCAGGCTTCCTTTGGATGCATTTCTGATTTGGTGGAACACAAATCTAATATAAATTTTCCCTCTGATTCCATTAGTTCCCAGAGTCCTCAGAAAAATAAGCCAGAGCAAGGCCAAATTAATTCTGACAGCACAATCGTGGGTGCACCAGTTTTGGTACTTGGAGCCAATGTATCTAGAAGTTTGTCCATCTTCATACTCCCAGTTCTTCCAGAAAACATTTTGCAGAGCCTATTCTACATCTGGACCCATCTACATCATTTCTACATCTGATAGTATGGGATAGCTGGCTAAGTTTGGTAGACATATGTTGTTCTTCTACAATGCAGGACATTCCAATTCATAGCAGGAAAGTTTTGTGGAGGTTTACATATAAAGCCAACTGGAAACATTTTTCATTATGGGCTACTTAACATCCTCTTCAATCCTTGGAGACTTCCATTCCTATCACTCTGGATCATTTGTTATCCCTGAAACTCTCAGGACTTTCAGTCAGCTCCATTAAGGTTCATTTTGCAGCAATGTCACCCTCCCGTTCAGGGTCTCACAGTATTTTCACACTTGACTGGGTCTAAATTTCTGAAGGGGCTGGTTCATGTGTTTCCACCAGTTAAGGAAATTCCCCCTCCCTAGGACTTAAATGTAGCACTTCTATCTTTGATGGAACACCTATTTGAGCTTATGTCATCATGTATTTTATACCACCTTTTCTATTAAAATGGCATTCTTGCTGGCTTTTACATCTGCTTGAGTGAACAAGATTCAGGCATTAATGGCAGGACTTCTTTTCACAAGACAGAGTAACTCTTTGACCTCTCCAAAAACTTTTATTCAAAGTAGTTTCAGACTTTCACTTGAACTAGTACATACATATTATTACCAGTATTTTTACCTAGGGCAGTGGTTCCCAAACTTGTTCTGCTGCTTGTGCAGGGAAAACCCCTGGTGGGCCGGGCCGGGCCGGGTTGTTTACCTGCCGCGTCCGCAGGTTCGGCCGATCACGGCTCCCAGTGGCCGCGGTTCGCTGCTCCAGGCCAATGGGAGCTGCTGGAAGTGGTGGCCATTACGTCCCTCGGCCCGCGCTGCTTCCAGCAGCTCCCATTGGCCTGGAGCAGCGAACCGCGGCCACTGGGAGCCATGATCGGCCAAACCTGCGGACGCGGCAGGTAAACAACCCGGCCCGCCAGGGGCTTTCCCTGCACAAGCAGCGGAACAAGTTTGGGAACCACTGACCTAGGTCCTCACTCATCTCCTGCAGAAGCAAAACTCCATACATGGTGCATTGAGTGCCCTTTCCTATTATCTCCCTAGGATAAAGTCTTTCTGCAAGTCACCCAGTCTGTAACTTTTGGAGACGGTCTAGAGGGCAGGCTATTTTGCCTCTGAGATTCTCAAAGTGACTTTCAGACTATCAGGATTTCACATTAATTTAATAAATTAGCTTCTCCTTCTCAGATCAAAGCACACTCCTAGAGCTCAGGCAGCCTCCTTAGCTTATTTGAGGAGCATCTCTAGATCTGAAATCTATAGGGCAGCTATTTGGCGCTTGATACATACCTTTACCAATCATTATTCCCTAGTGGTAGATTCTACACCTGACATTCAATTTGGCAGGATAATCCTACAGTCCTTATTTAAATAGGATTCCTGGCACTCACCTCGTTAAGGAGACAACTGCTAGACAGTCACCTAGAGTTGGATCCATATGAACAAATACTCGAACAGTTACTGTAATGTAAGTAATGGTGGTTCTTCAATTATTTTGTCCACACAGATCCCATGAGCCATCCTTCTTCCACACTAATGCAAAGTCCTTTAGCTTTGGAATTCTCTTCTGTATTGGCATTTGGGGCTGCTATGCCCTTTATGCCTTTGAGTGGAGGGTGCATGGATATGTAGAGTGCATGTATGGCCCCAACAGACACTACTGGCCAAAAAAAAATCCAATCTTGGGCAGTGGGAGCATATTCGTACCTAGAATGGGATCCACATGGAGAAATCATCTAGAAGAACAACAGGTACTGTAAAGTAAGTAACAGATCTCTTCATTGACTAAACTGTAGGTCTGTCTAGGAATTTACACCAAATCTAACTTCACATTCCATTTCAAACATACTTTCTTCCTTTGCCTATGTCTCTTCTCTTTGCCACAGATGCTACTTTTTATTTTAATTCTATTACTGTATTCTGTAGTCTGCACAAAGTGTTTTGGGATACAATTTGTGTGGATGGCACTTGTAAAAAAAATCAAGTGTTTGGAGTTGCAAACAGTTTCAGAAGAAGTTAAATCATTTGTAGCAGTTGTGCTTATTCTTTTACATAGTAAGGAAATTGGGATTCTCCTATACTGTAGTAGTATTTATTGCTGGAAATGATGATAGAGAAGGTTGGGAATATATTTCCCTTTTGCTAACTGCCAGTTTTTTGTACTCCTTTATAATCTTTTGAAAAAAATGTTTGTTTTGTGATGCAACATGCTTATTCCCCACCCCCTTCTTTTTTTTTTTTTTTTTTTTTTGAGGAGTGATAAATGAAGTGGGTGTGAGGGCTTAGCTGAGACTAAACATGTTTCTGCACAAAATAAATCCACTGCCACACCACAACTAAATCTTCAGAACCTCTTGCAGTTGTGTACTTCTCTCATCTGAGTCCACTGTTCCTTCTATTAGTGAATTTCAATACTACGCAATTTGTTCTCACTCCAAGAGAATTATGTAAATAGAATTAGTCCCAACAACAAGTAGTGGAAGACAATACTTGTTACCTTTCTCCATGTCTAATTGTTTCCATTTACTATTTGTCTGCATTCTTCTACTCAACTAGATTTATATTTGTAGTGTTGCTCCCTACAAATTTCCTTGACTTTTCATATTAATGTTGTATCTGAAATGCTATTAAAATCCCTACTAAGCTCCATGTAAATGTATTCCCTGTTCTTCAGATACTTACTAATATCAATCTCTACTTTTTTTAGTCAATAATATTTTATGCTTTATTTTAAAGCCCACAGTTTCAGTTAAATTGAAACTAATGCTCATTGGCACTAAAACACTGTCTGGAATCCTCTTCCTCGTAGTGAAATCTATCAACTCTATTGTCCTGGAATAAAATGTTGTCCTCCAAGCAGCGTGATCAAATATTCTTGAGATCATCTTCTCTCTTTGCACATTGCTGAATCTCTTTGTGGCTGAGACCCCACTGCTTTATAATAAGGAGCAGGATAAATGGAAGGTTCAGTGTTGAGAGAGAATACAACAGTTGCCTTTAGTACAAAAAATAGTATCTGCCATAATGGCATGATTAGAAGAGCCTGACTAGAAGAGCAGAGAAAATTCGACAAGGACTATGCATATGGGATCAATTAAGTTAATGATATATCTTAAGTTTAAATACATGGAATATTGCCATCAAATCACAGAAACAAAATATGTAGCAGTTCAGAGTTTATTGCTATCTGTTGGGGAGGGTGGAATATATGTTCGCTTAAAACACCACTTTCACATCCTAAAAATATCAATAATAAATCAAGTTAAGACCCTGAAAGTATAATAAAATTGATGAATGATAACATAAAAGCTGAGTCTGAACATTTGTTTCCTGACAGCATAACAAATCATGATTACAATTGAATAATCTCAATGTGCTGCTGTATACTTTTTTATAAGTACAAGTTTATCAGAACTCTGTTCTTCAGACCTTTACTCTGTCATTAATCACCAAGACATTATGAACCAATCAAAAGGTCTAAGGAGGACTTACAGCTTAGGGTTTCAATTAATATGTGGATTGCAGCAATGTTACATTAGACTGATAGTACACACTGTTCAGACTGAATTTACACTAAATAGGTAAATGAACACCTGAAGAATATATTATGGTCTACATTATTTTTAGATTGTGGGCAAGCCATTTTGGCTGGGCTATATGTTTAGCATGCACACATCTGAAAATTGTTGTTTTCATAGGTAGTAATAGTTATATTTTGAGTTTTAAAGAGCTAGGTGTGTTCTCATGGTTACTAAACACTTTTTTTTTTTTAAATGGTCAGTGAGTGGAATTAAAATGTTCAATGAAAAGGCTCCATTATCCCACGACTACTCCTTAAACCAATAAATGTTCCCCAGCTCTTAGCCCCACTCCACAGTTACTTTGTGAGATAAACAACCCTAAATATAAAACAAATCAATCTTTATGTTTCACACTTGATCAGGGTCTTCAGAATTGGAAGAAACTGACAATGACCACAGAGCGGCCAGGTCTACACTACAAACTTATATTGGTAAAACAACATTGTTCAGGGGGTATGAAAAATCCACACCCCTGAATGACACAGTTATACCGACCTAACCTCACCGGTGTAGACAGAACTATGTCAACGGGAGGGCTTGACCTACCAACATAGCTACCACCTCTCGTGGAAGTGGATTAACTATGACGATGGGAGAAGCTCTCCCATCAGCGTAGTATCATCTTCACTGAAGCTGTGCCACTGCAGTGTTTTAAGTGTAGACCTGCCCAGAGGCTGTCATATAAAAGCTGGCATGGTAGAATTGGTCCAATACATATGCAAGGAAAAAACACCCCAGTTTCTTTCTCACAAGATTTATTAGGTTGTAATAACTTGCATGTTTGCCCAATTTTTTTCCTTCAGTTATTAACAAAGCAGTCACTAATACTGACCAGCCTAATTAAGGTTTCATAATCATTTCCATTATAACCTTGTTTTCATGTACTTTTAACTATCCACAATTTCTCTCTTTGGGGATGAATTTTTCCAAGTTTCTCCTCTACTTAAAAATTATTTCTCCTGAAAAGCTGAGGAAAAATTGTGTCAGTCACTTCTGAGTTAAGAGAATGAAAAAATAATTTGTTTCTGCTGTTAACAAGTTGCTCTTATGCTTTTCCACAGGGAGATAAAATAACTATGTTGAGTAATTTTGTATCTGCAAATTTTGCCACATCACTGTTCACTCCCCTTTTTCAGATCATTTATGAAGATGTTGAACAGCACAGGTCCCAGTAGGGATCGTTGGGGGACCCCACTATTTACCTATCCCCATTGTGAAAAGTGACCATTTATTCCTACCCTTTGTTTCTGATCTTTTAAGCAGTTACTGATTCATGAGGGGATGTTTCCTCTCATCCCATGACTGCTTACATTGCTTCAGAGCCACTGGTGAGGGACCTTGTCAAAGGCATTTTGAAAGTCCAAGTATACTATATGGACTGGATCACCCTTGTCCACATGCTTATTGACCCCCTCTAAGAATTCTAATAGGTTGGTGAAGCCTGATTTCCTTTTACAAAAGCTGTGTTGACTCTTCTCCAACATATCATGTTTTATTTGTGTCTGATATTTCTGTCCTTTACTATAGTTTCAGTTAATTGGCTTCATACTGAAGTTAGGCTTTCTGGCCTGTAATTTCCAGGATCACCTCTAGAGCCCTTTTTTTTTTTTTTTTTTTTTAAATTAGCATTACATTAGCTACCCTTCAGTCATCTGGTACAGAGGCTGGTTTAAGTGATAGGTTACATAGCACAGATAGTAGTTCTGCAATTTCATATTTGAGTTCCTTCAAAATTCTTGGGTGAATACCATCTGGTCCCAGTGACTTATTACTGTTTAGTATGTCAATTTGTTCCAAACCTCCTCTATTGGCACCTTAGTTTGGGACAGTTCCTGAGATTTATCACCTAAAAAGAATGGCTCAGATGTAGAGATCTCTCCCACATCCTCGGCAGAGAAAACCGTTGTAAAGAATTCATTTTGCTTCTCTGCAATGGCATTGCCTTCCTAGTGTGCTCTCTTAGCACCTCAATCGTCCAGGGGCCCCAATGACTGTTTGGCAGGCTTCCTGCTTCTAATGCAAATGATTTTTTTGTTGATAGTTTTTGTGTCTTTAGCAAATTACTCTTCAGATTCTTTTTTGGCTCACCTTCTTCTATTTTTACACTTGACTTCCCAGAGTTAATACCGTTTTCTATTTTCTTCATTAGGATTTGACTTCCAATTTTTAAAATATGCCTTTTTGCCTCTAATTGCCTCTTTTACTCTGCCGTTTAGCCATGGTGGCATTTTTTTTGGCCCTCTTACTGTTTTTATGTTAACATTTATTTGGGGAATATGTCTAGTTTGAGCCTCTATTATGGTGTTTTTTTTTAAAAGTCTCCATACAGAGTGCAGGCATTTCACCCTTGTGGCTTTTTCTTTTAATTTCCACTTACTAGCTTCCTCATTTTTGCGTAGCTTCCCTTTTTGAAGTTAAATGCTACTATGGGGGGGTGCCTTTGGCATTTCCCCCCTGCAAGAATGTTAAATGTAATTACATTATGGTTACTAGTATCAGAGAGAGAGCCGTGTTAGTCTGGATCTGTAAAAGCAGCAAAGAGTCCTGTGGCACCTTATAGTCTAACAGACGTATTGGAGCATGAGCTTTCGTGGGTGAATACCCACTTCGTCGGATGCATGTGGTTACTGTTATTGAGTGGTTCAGCTATATTCACCTCTTGGACCAGAACCTGTGCTCCATTTTGGACTAAATCAAGAATTGCCTCTCCCCTTATGGGTTGCAGGATGAGCTGCTCCTACAGGCATTCATTTCTGTCTAGAAATTTTTGAGGTGACATATACCTAGTCTATATAAGGATAGCCAAAATCCCCCGTTAATATGAGGATGTCAAAATCCCCCATTATTACTTCATTTTCTGCCTTTGTAGCCTCTCTTAGCCCCTGGAGCATTTCACAATCACTCTCGCCATCCTGGTCAGGTGGTATATTCCTACTACTATACTATTTTTTTTAAAATACTCATCAGCTCCTCCTCCCTCTCTTCCCCCCAGCATCTCCCGTCCGCCGGCAGCCCCACCGATCAGTGCCTCCCCGTCCCTCCCAGCGCCTCCCACCCATCACGATCAGCTGTTCCATGGCATGCAGGAAGTGCTGGTGAGAAAAGGGGAGGAGCAGGGGCAGGAAGAGGTGGGGCGGGGCCTTGGAAGAAAGGGTGGAGTGGGGGCAGAGCCAGGGGGAGTACCACCCAGGCACATTAGAAAGTCGGGCCTCTGCTAAGGGATTTCTGCCCCTGAACTGTGTACTGCTGCATACCTGTCAGCTTACCCTCAGCCCTTAGTTTAAAAAATCCTCTATGACCTTTTTAAATGTCACATGCCAGCAATCTGGTTCCATTTTGGTTTAAGTGGTGCCTATCATTCCTGCATACGCTCCTCCTTACCCATAAGGTTTCTTAGTTCTTAATAAACCTAAACCCCTCCTCCCTTCACCATCGTGTCGTCCATGCATTGAGGCCCTGCAGTTTTGCCTGTCTTTCTGGCCCTGCGTGTGGAACTGGAAGCAGTCTAGAGAATGCTACCATGGAGGTAGGTCCTGGACTTTAATCTCTTACCAAGCAGCTTAAATTTGGCCTCCAAAGCCTCTCACCTACCTTTCCCTATGTCACTGGTACCCACATGCATCATGACCACTGGCTCCTCCCAAGCAATGCACGTACATCTATCTAGCAGTCTCATGAGATCCACAACCTTTGGGCCCAGTAGGCAATTAACCATGCGGGTTTCCCGGTCATCACAAAACCAAACTGTCTAATAATCAAATCCTACTAATAATCCAAATTACTACTACCTATAACTATTCATCTTATAACACAGGAAATTAAAAGATCTTGGAGCTCATAGTCTAGAAGGAGGAGATAGCAATGTCAACTGTCAGAGTCCACTTGATGTTACGGACCCAGTATTAGTCCTAGAACATGAAGCAATAGAATGTAACCACTCAGCTCCTGAGCCCACTATCTAGTGTGTTGGAGCATACATTCTCCTCCTTCCACTGTCTTTTTGTGATGTCACAGAACTATTGTGACTTCTGTGATCCAAAGCAGCAAGGCCAAGGATGTGAGAGCCTGATTCCCACCAGCTGGGCACTTTGTTCAGCCTGTCTATAAAGGAGAGAGGAGAGTTCAGCCTACCTTGCAAGAGTGTTTACTTACCTTGTCCCATGAAATAAAGGGCCATCTCGCTTCAAGAAGGATGTCTGGGGAGCGAGCTTTCCTGAAACTGCCCCCACTAGGAAGGTGTCAGAAAGTTAACTCCTGTAACAAGGAGGAGGATATCTACAAAATGTTTACAAAACTATCCAGACTTCACTGCAAACTGCAGGATCCGCTGAAGGAGCTGCTTTATCAGTGCGCTAGTGAGGAGGAAGGAGAATGTATGTATATACATTTGTATATAATCTATAGTTATGGGGCAGGCAGGCGCCAAAAACTTTGCCTTGCTTCTGAGGGAGAGATGTCAGTTGCCAATAGCACAGGAATAACAGCACCTAAAATGTATGAAATGGAGTGGAGATTACAGGTGCCCTCCTCTTTACCGATGAAGCACGGCCTTTGGTAATGACTAGTCCTATCATGTGATACCACTTGGATCAAGGTGTAACACCATATGCTGGGAACCGTCATCTCCACAGGCCACCCTCCATGTTAAAGATGAAGGTGGCTGTAGCTGCATTTGGCTTGTGAGTTACATGTTGGCTGTTTGCAATGTGCTGCTTAATGTTAGGAAGCAGTCAACCCGACATGGTTACAAGTCAAAATGGACCAGATTTGTGACTTGGATGACTGGAAAGGGTGGTTCTTCTGCTTCAGCATCCATACATTGTGTACTAGAATATTTTATGTTTTTAAAGATGAAGGATTAATTCATCGTTAAGGGTTCACTTGGCAGCCATTTCTGCCTTTGTTTGATAGTAGATACTTTATTTGATAGTAGATCATTGTTTGTACATAATGCCATTAAGAAATGTATGAAGGGCTTATCTGTGCATCCTCCTTTGAGACATACTTTCCTTCCTTGGGATCTCAATTTGGTTGTAGCCAGGCTGATGAAACCACCCGTTGAACCTTTTGCTGAGTGTTCTTTACATTGTTTATCTATTAAAATGGCTTTTATTGTTGTTATAACATCTGCCAGAAGGGTGAGTGAGCTAAATGCTCTTATGGCTGATCCATCATTCACTATTTTCCATGTGATAGTGGTTCTTTAGCCTGATCCCAGGTTTTTGCCAAAGGTAGTTTCAGATTTTCATGTCAATCTGTTCATTAATTCGCTGTTTTTTCACCCAAGCCACATTCTAATAAGGTTGAATTGACTTTACATACTTTGGATGTAAGGCTGGTCCTTGCTTCTTATTTAGACAGAACTAAAAGTTTTCATAAATCATCCAGATTGTTTTTGTTGTTCTAAAAATCACATGGGATATACAGTTTTTTCCCAGACCATTTCTAGATGAATTAAGCTATTTATTGTTGAATGTTATTTGTTGGCAGAGACTCCTATACCTGGGACAATACATCCATATTCCAATAGAGCTGTGGCAACCATTTTTGTTTGTATTAAACAAGTCTCTGCTCTGGGGATTTGCAGAGCTGCTACCTGGAGTTCTGTTCACAACTTTCACTAGGCATTATGCTTTGGACTTGGCTGCTAATGCAGATGTTGAATTTGTTAGAGCGGTGCTGCAGTCTCTATTCATTTACAACTCTGTGCCTAGCTCCATGTTATTTTCAGCACTGCTTATCAGTCTATCCCATAAGTGGGAATATGCAGAGCCATTCAAAGAAGAAATGAAGGTTACTCACTTGTAACTGGAGTTCTTTGAGATGGCGCTGCATATTCACACTTCCCACCCACCTCCCCCTCTTTGTCAGAGTCATAGTCACTTTTTGTTCTCTGCCATTGCAGTGGAAGGAATTGAGGTGATAGCGGGTGCTGCACCCCTTATATAGCCTTGCTCTCAGGACCTTCCGAGATGCTGAGGGGAAAGGCTGGGGGTGCAAAAGCATGCTAACAGACACTGCTGGGAGAAGGTTCTACCATAAGGCACCACAAGGCAGTGCAGTACCCGTAAGTGTGAATATGCTGAGCCATTTCTAAGAACTCCAGGCACCAGTAAGAATCCTTCATTTATTCCTTAAATGCTTACGATGTTGTAAGCTTCTTTTTGTTATGTTCTTTTGCAATTGGCTAGGATCTGAATGTAAGCATTTAATGTAACAATTTCCTGATATCCTTGTGACATGAATAGTGAGATGATTTATGTACCAATATGTAATCAAATGAACTTTCCTATAACTGGTTACTACTATAAGAAGCCATTTGAGTATTAGCATGTTTATATTAATTGAGGAATTCGCAATCTGGCAATGCTTAAGCAACCTCCTTACTAAACTCAGGAAGACAAGAAGAACCTCTCAAAAGATTGTTAAGAAGAAAAGACAATACCTTCGATGACGATTTAAGTTCAAAGATTCTAAGAATCATTTAAGTTTAAAAGCACTTAAAGCTGAAAGACTTTTTTAGAAAATAGGAGCATTTGGACCCATTTGAAACAGACGTTAAATTGTTATTAAGTCTGGATGGAACCAAGGGGATAACTCAGTAAATGAATTGAATAAAAAGTTAAAACTCCAACTTGAAAAAATGAGAATTTCTTGCCACAAGGACAAAAGCAGTATAACTATAATGTTTAATTACAATCCTGCTACATATGCATTAGCAGGTTGCATATTAAGTGAGCTGAGGATGCTACCAAAACCATCCCATGAAGGTGCTGAGCCTATGAAAAGTGACAGATGCTGATATCCGAATCCAGCCAAGCCCCTGAAAGAGGTGTGTCTTCCACCTTCAGAAGAAAGAAAAGAGACATTCTCATGTTCTTCAGCACTGAGCTCAGCCTGTTTATTTAATATCCTCAACTTACAAGCAAACAAATAGCAATGACAAGACAGTTGTAACAAACAAAGCAGCCAAAATCTTTTGGTCTTCCTTCTGCAATAGGACATGGGCATATTTAACTTTCACACATCTTCCACCTACATGTGGACTTTCACATGATGGTGTAATGGGAAACTATTTATTCTGAAATATTCTCCAAGACGTCAGGACCAACTCAAAAGATTTTTTTTGCAGTGAATGGGCATTTCTTTTAACTGCCTGACTATTTTGGAAACTTGAGAATCTCTATTTTGAGATGAATAGTGTAATAGAGATGTCTAGACACTTAAACCTAATATAAGATGAACAAAGATTTCTAATTTTCTTGCAACTCATAATGTAAAAAATTATAAAAGAGATAGAGACAGAGTAACATTGTCACCGAAATCTTGGTCAGAAAGAAATCCCAAATAGGTATGTATCAAATACTTCCTAAAAAGTAGAAAAAGAAAGAAGTATCTCGACAAGCTAAAAGGAATGTGGGTGAAACTCACTCCTCTGCCAAGAGCCTGCCCAAAGCTTAGGCACTACTTGAGCTGTAGTTTGAGTGGGATTTAAGTGGTGCATTGCTCTTCTGTTTCATGGGGGTGAATTTCACCCTATATGAATTGGCAAATCAGAAATTTCTGTAGATCTTCCTCCAAAGCAAGACTACGGAACAACAAACAACTAGTTTTAAGGTTGGGGGGCAGAGACTTCCTTACAGAATAGAAGCAATTCTTTGGGCATTAAGAGATGACTATATTCCCCTTTAATGATAATGTTCAAATGACTAGTGTAGCCACATCTTATCATATCTGATTGGCTTGGAGATTGAATCTAAGAAAAGGAAATCCCAGGTTCATTTTTTCTCAGCAGCTGTAGCCTAAAAAGGTGTGTCTGCATTTTAATGTAATTCTTAATCAATGTCAGTGATTGTTTTAATGCTACTTTGCAAAAGATTAAAAGAGAATGCCGGAAGGGACTAATGTAAGAATGGAAGGATTATATTTTAATAAAATTAATCCTGCCTATAAAAGGAGACCTGTGAGTGTCCATCTGGACAAATCCAATTGTACTTTTCTAAGCAGCAACATTAAACTTGACACTCCAATCCACAAAACACTTGTGAGAATGTGTGAAAGGAAAGGACCTGTGAATCAAGGACTTTGGAGGGTGCAACTAACAAAATACCTCTGACTTGCTAAAAGAGATTTTAAATCCTGAGAGATTACTGCCAGAAATTTCAAATGAGTTTCAGGAGGCAGGTGGGTTGGAATGGGGAGAATGGACATCCTTCTCAACTACACCTTACAAAGGAAAAAAGTCTATGTTAATGGCAGAACACAAGTTACCTCACACCACTGATTGAGGCGGCTGATAAAGAGCCCAGATCTTATTGATTCTGCCCTTTCACTATCAAAGATGAAAACGCTCTGATCTGAACGGGCAGTTCTAGATGCAGTCACTAAAACATTATCCTTGGGCTTCAGAATCAATATCAAATAGGGAAATAGTGTTTTGATTTTTAAAGTAGCACAAAAGTCCAAGTATAAGGAATTTTGTCTCTTCCCAAGGAAGGAGAAAGTAAGGCTGTATTCAAGGTACCTGTAAAATACATGTACAGATGGAACTCATTTTTCTGAAGTCTTCAGAGTTTCTTATTTGAATGATTATATGAATGTTCTTTGTAGGGAATGGAGAGCTCAACTTGTTCTCCTCTTCCTCAAACATGGAGATCAGGAGAATTGCTTGAGTTCCTAAATCAGTAGTAGAGATGGGTCTCAACAGGAACACCAAATTTAAACATCCCATTACCTCTGGGTTGAAATCTGAATCCTATCCAGATTCAGGTTGTGTGGCTTAGGCCCATCTCTGGTCAGTACCAAAGAACCATGGGATCAGAACAGATCCTAATTAGAATATCAGACACACCCAATAAAGTAGTTTAACTAACCAGACATTTACTAACCTCCTTATCCCTAACTAAAGGAATAATTTACTGAAAGTGTCACTAAGATATACAGAAGGCAGAATTGCGGCCTAACCATTTAAAAAAAGAAAAAAACACCTACATAAAACAAGTACTCCATACTCAGCTCCCACAAAGGCAACATTTATGTCAGTCCATAATATCCAATGGCAGAATGAGTTGGCTGCTTTCACTACTATCTAGGGAAAAGCAGAGATGCAATCCTATAGCTTTTTCCAGGTCAAGTGACCTTAACACCAAATTTGCTAATTTCTAATTTTAGTCTCTTCCTGGCTGCAGAATACAAGTTGCCCCTTCTCCTAAAATACTGTAACAATTTCTCAATTCAACATGGGCTGATCTGAGTATATCTCAAAAGGATCCTATTCCTATTCTAAACAAGGAACAAGAAGTTCACTGACTAAAGGTGTTCTAAATATCATTTGTTTTTTACATTGCTGTTCAATATATATTTCATTTTTCTTACCCTGGAACGTGTAAAAACATGACAACACATCCATTAAAAAGAAGCACCAGTTAATACTGTGGTTTTCAAACTTTTTAGGCTGCATACCCCTTTCCAAATAATGTAGTCTACCACGTACCCCCATCTGAGATAGGGTCAGAATATACCTATGATTAGATTGCCAACTCTTACTAAATAAAATGCGGTGTCCACCATTACAGAGTTTGCGTACCCCTAAGGATATATGTACCCCAGTTTGAAAACCACTACCTTAATATATTTATCAACTTTACATTTACCCTAAGATAAATTAATATATATGATACTATAGTAAAATGATTGTGGTTTACGATCTTTGAATGTTCAGTAGAAAAATGTCTTGGGGGTGGTGAAGACCCCAACAATATTCAGCTCCTGAAAGAAATTAAATATTAATGGTGCTAACCATAAAGTTAGATCAAAATATCGTAGACATTCAGGTAACCATGGTTGATGCTATTATTACAGAGCCACACCTTCTACAAAAAATAATATAAATTTATGGCATGACTTTCAAACATGCTGAGCACTCACAGCAATGTTTAGCTTTAATGGGAGTTGTGGATGTGCAATACCTCCAAAAATCAGGTCCTTAAAGTGCTCTACACAGTTCATCCAAAGGGATCCAGAATCACAAATTGTGGACCTGATTCTGCAAGCTGCTCGGTGCTGGCTAATGCTTATGCCTGCATGGAACCTTACTGAAGTAAGTGGGGCTCTAAACAAATAGAGAGATCCCTACCTGTTTAGATCAGCGTATGGGATCAGGTCTATATAGAAGGATCACATCACCCACTACTAAAATGCAGCCAACTCTAGAGCAGAATGCAGCAGCTGTTTAGCAGAGTATTGCAAAGCTCTTCTGTATTCTATTCCCTCCATCACAGATAATATAAAACAAATTTCCCTTTATTAAAGTATATGTTTACTAAAAAAAACCTTTTAAAGCTTTAACTATTATCCTATGGACATGATTAAATAGTGTGGTTAGAGCAGAAATATTGTATTACTACACATTGATAAGTGAATGATTCTCAAATAATTTCCCCCTTTTGCTGTACTGCCAGGCTCGATTCAACAATGAGTCAGCACCCACACAAAAAAATCATATGATTTTTAAAAATAATACATTTTGGGGTCTTTGTATTTGCATTCTGATTTAGGGGTCACATTTTCCAACTTCTCTCCACAACCATGAGGGCTAGGAACATACTACTATTAAAAAAAAAAAAGAATGATAGCTGTGATTCTCATGTAATGGCATGACTTCAGGAACTAGGGCTTTAAAAAAAAAATCCATATATCACAGGACTCACAATAAAAATCACAGGAGTTGGTAACAGTGCTGGCCCATTGCATGATCTGATGACAGTGGTTGACTTTAATGGTATCTTTGCCTGAGCAAAGACCAATCAGGAATTATAGTATTTCACCCATAGTCATTATTTTGTTACCTCAGTCATGGAGCTCCAGCAAACTCAAACTTCCACTATTCCTGTAAATCCCCTGTCTAAATTCTTCTAAATGCAACAGATAAATGTCTCTCTCTTCATTCTCACTCCTTGTGCTGTGGACTATTGATATTCATCTTCATGCGTAGTTTTATTTCTGCTCCACTTTTTTGGTCTTTCATCTCTACAGCTGTGCCTTAGTCTCTGCATTAGGGAACAAGCATCTAACCATGTGAATTTAGTGATAAGATTGATGACATGCTTAGAAACCAAATTAGTGGGAAAACCTTACATGAATTCATGGAAGACTGTTACTTGAACCTAGTCGGACATATTAAGGAAAGCTCTTACTCTAGCAAGCCAAATTGAGTTAGTTATTAATAATGCAAAGATGGTTGCTGAGGGAAATACTTATTAGGACAGGTCCAGAAAGCAGACTTCAAACAGGACAAGTGACGTTTAATACTGCTGCTTAAAGTATCATTGCTACAAGCCAAAAAATCCCAAACTTATATTCGGATTTCATTTCATTTGCTTGCAGCCATACCACTTAGGTCTGTAAAAACAACAAGGAGTCTGGTGGCACCTTAAAGACTAACAGATTTATTTGGGCATAAGCTTTCGTGGGTAAAAACCTCACTTCTTCAGATGCAGCCGAAGAAGTGAGGTTTTTACCCACGAAAGCTTATGCCCAAATAAATCTGTTAGTCTTTAAGGTGCCACCAGACTCCTTGTTGTTTTTGTAGATACAGACTAACACGGCTACCCCCTGATACTTGGCACTTAGGTCTGTGATCTCCTTAGTTCTTACAAACTAAACAGGGTCAAGCCAGGTTAATACTAACCTAGATGCTGCTGAAAGTGGTGTTGCTCACTCAGTGTAAAGCTTCCCCTGTTGTCAGTACAGTACAATACATTAGTCTGGTATAGAGGGGCTCTCAGCTACTAGAGGTGCTGTCTTCAACATAAAATAGAAGAAAAAGTTTCCAACTACTTCTGGTTATTAAAAATTGTAAGATGGCACTTTTCATGACAGGCATCAGTCCTGGATAGATTTAAGAGTCTCTGCCAACACAGCCACTCCATATAAAGAAGCAGATTCTGTGCTGCAATAGATTATTTTAAATATGTTTGAGGGCCAAGATTTTCAAAAATGACTAGTGATTTTTGGTGCCCAATTTGTGACACTTTAAGCGGTCCTGCTTTCCAAGGAGCTGGTGCACAGTGCTTTCTGAAAACTGGGCTCTCTTTAAGGTGTCACAAGTTAGTCCCCCAAACACTGAGGCAGCTAAAATCACTGTTGGTGACAAAAAATCTTGGCCAAGAGAACTGAAGGTTCTATATTTTTAATTTCTCTCTTGCTTGAGTTCAGGTTTCCACAGCTTCAGCTTTGAAAATCTTTTAACTGGTAAGGGGCTACACCGTGAGCTTTATCTTTCACCAGAGCCAGACCACGTACCACTCTGGAAAAGAAATATTTCCAACAGGCTTGCTGAGAAATACAGGCAATTCAGATTGAACATAAAGGACACCCCGATGTCAGCAGTAATTGTAAGGTAAAACTCATCAGTCTTATCCTTTCAGGATACTGTAGACAGAGATACCACTTTAACAGTGTGATTATATGTGGGGATATAGCTAGGAAAGCTATTTTAGGAGGTGTTATGGGCCAAATTTTGCTCTCACTTATACTAATGTAAAACAGAAATAAGTCAGTGGAGTTACTCCAGTTTTAGACGAGCAAAATTTGGCCTCATTGTGGCAGTTTTATCTTCCTTTTGCACCTATACAATATTTTATTTTTGAACTCCAAGCTTTGCAACTCTGACCAGAAAGCTTTTACTGTAGTATTTTGAGGGGCATGTTACCTTTCAAGTTGGCTGTGTTTTCCAAATGATTTTCCAATCACACACTATTCTGATATCAGGATCCTCTTTCTAGGAAGCTTTTATTTGTTCTGAAGTCTACTCTTGGACACCCATATCCACTGTCCAGTGTGTGAACCAGGAACTTTTGCACTTCTGCGAGTTATGGAAGAGAGGAGACAGCCATGTCTTTCCAAGCACACTCATTTCCTTGAGCAACTAATTCCTTGCTCTCTTGAGTAAGGGCAGTGTTTTCAATTAGCCTCCCAACAAGGACCACTGGACAAGGCATTAGCATGACTAAAGGGCATGACTGTGAAATCTTAACACTGCAGTTTTTCCAGCCACCTGGCAAGTTGCCCCTCAGGATCCTAAATCTAAAGCATCATTGCAGAGATGCGAGGTCTGCCCTGACCAGACCACAGATTTCCTTCAGTACAAATGGTGAAAATGTTCTATAGATTTAACCGCTGCCAAGAGTTTATTTCAGGTGGGGAAATAATTTCTCTCTGGAGAAAGATAAGCCACCACCCTCTCAAGTCCTTTGTTTTCTTGGGTCAATATTAACCCCAATCAGTAAGCACTGCTATCTGCATCCAATATGAAAAGGGTTTTGAAATATGGATAGGCCAAGACAGGAGCTGTCACGAACACCCTTATCACCCTGAAAAGTACATTCTGCTGACCACTGAAATGTTTTCCCTTTCTCATCCACTCTATGTAGTGATTTTGCAATATAAGCAAATCCACAAATGAACCTTCTGTATTAGGAGAAGGGCCCTACAAAACTGCAGATGTGCGATTGTCTGAGGAGTTAGCCAGTTCTGCATAATCTCAATTTTCTTTGGTTTCTATGGAAATCTCGCACACCCCAAACTACCTGTACACCCAAGGTAAATTACCTCTTTTTGGAACAACTTGCATTTCTTTTGATTCAATTTTAGATTGGCAGCTTTAATCTTCTCACAGATCACTTGCAAATATATCCGTTCCTGTTCAAAGATTTTAGCAGCAGGATATCATCTAGGTATGGCAAACTGATGGAGAATGGCATGCCATAGAATACTCTGTCCATTCACTTCTCAAAAGGGTGATGCATTGCACAAGCTAAAAGTCATCAATTGCCACAGGGAAAGCAGTTTTCCCCCATTTTTTGGATCCACTTCCACTTGCCTATACCACTTTTAAGACCTAGTGTGGAAAACTATATAGAACCCACTAGAGCATCCAGAGTATCACCTATTCATGGTAATGGATAAGTGTCCTTTAAAGTGACTTAAATTAATTTTCTGTTGTCCACACACAATCTGGTGCTATCATCTTTGTCTTAACCAGAACTTTGGGTATGGCCCAAGGACTGGTTGAAGGCTCAGCTATGCTTTCCTGATATAGGCCATTGAGGAAATGTAACCACTCTTTTCTCTTTGCTATTGGGAAATGATGAAGTGGCTGCGTAACGGGTCATTTCCCCTCAGTATCAATCTTACGCTGGCCCAGAACAGTACTACTTTTCTCTTTGTTGGACTAGGAGGACTCCTGGTTCCTAACAGAAAGTCCCTTAGACTGTTCTGCTGCTCCTCATTGAAATGTTCCGGCAGAATGCTGAAACAAGACCAACAAAAACTGCATCCCTTCCCCTTTGTAGCTTTCCTTCTATACCAGCATTTCCAGATCCACTGGTTCACATTTTGCAACCATGGTTCCTGTTTTTACTGTTTTTCAGAAACATTCAGCAAACAAACAGAAATGTATTCCTGATTCACAAGAGCTTTAGCCGCTAAGATTTCCCTGAGAATCTGGATCTCAAAGCAGGTCACAACCACTCCTCATCTTTCTCTTGATGTAAAGTTACCACAGCATATAGCTGTTATTACTGTTTCTGATCCTGGAAGCAGGACAACTTGTTCACGGCAAACCAATTGCCTACATATCATTTGCCTCACCTGAGCCACATCTGTAAAGGGAATTTCCAGACTGATTTTGTAACCCTAACCTTGTAAGACCCCATTCTTGGCATTTATTACATTGTTATTAAGCTATAATGAAGTCCAAACCTTCTGGTCCATGGCAGTCAGGTTGCTGGTCACTTCATCAAGCCATCTTGCCATTCCAGACGAGGAGCTCTGCAAGTGGACTTCCCAATCTATTGAGACACTTTGTAGTTCCTGCTCCAAAAGAGATTTCATTTCCACCTGCAAGTCATTTCTCAGCTCGGTGGAACAGAAGATAGTCTGCCATCATGCTACAACGTACAATACTGTCAAATCTCTGATGGGAGCTCCCAGGCAATCCAGCAAAGTACTGAACAGGATGAGGTTTTACAGGCAACAAAACTGTTCAGACTTCAGGGTTGGCCAGAGGTTACTCCTGACTCTCAGGTGAGGGATGAGCAAGACAGGATTTTGTTCAAAGGGAACCAAGCAGTAATCCTAACAGTTTTAAGAGCTGACATCTTCGGATGGATACACACTTCACACCTGGGGTATAGACATGCCTGAGACACGTCAGGAAATGTGTATACACATTGACCAAGTATGAATTGAGAGCATACATGGAGCAGTGCGAGGTGTGCAAAGAGTGTAGTGATCAATAGACGGAGATGCTACAGCCTCATTAAATCCCAACCCAACCCTAGGAAAAGGTCGGAATAGATTGGTTTCCTTTTAATGACAGGAACGACATGGTCATAGGAGATTTTAACTCCAATTTCTGAGAGGTGGACTATCTAGAGGACTCCGGCAAGAACTATGATCCAGAAATTGAAGGTACATTTTACAAGATGTGGCATATCTGACACACTGTTCTCAGACAATGGGCTACTGGAGCAGAATTCAAATGATTCAGCACCAAATGAGAATCTGAGCACAAGATAGCTTCCCCCCCGCCCCCCGAGTACCCACAAAGCAACAGAAAGGCAGAGTTGGCTTTAAAAACAGCCAAGAGACTGATGGCAGAGGCAAAACAGATAGAAAGGGATCCATACCTGGGAATGTTGGACCATTGAAATAAACCCTCCCAGGAACTAGCTAGTAGCCCAATAACAGAGACTTATGGGTTGGAGAACTAAGACCCTGCTTCCCATGAAGGATAGTTTGCTGCAGCACAGCAGAGTAACAACAGGCAGCACACAACAGCACTTATGAGAATGCCAAGCTAAGCAGGCAGCCCTCCACTACAAAAGAGCCAGAGACTTGAGCCACTATGCACACGTCAGCAGCTCTGGGTCTAACCATCAAATAGTCACACAAAGCAAAGGCCACAGGCAACAGTCCAAGCTGCAGTGGGATACAGGTCATAGGAGGTAGCTACAGACTCAGAACAATAGCGGAGATGAAACTGAAGACAACTGCTAAATAGTGGCAGACAGCAGGGGCCAAAGGCCAGGACTAGTGGGATGTACAAAGAGCCTCAGACATCAGCTGGCCTGAGGAAGGAGGGTCAGAAGAAACAAGATATATGAGCAATACACAGCACTATAGTATGCCAGTGAACTGAATGAAGGCATCAATAGGGTGGAAGCAAGTTCCCTGCAAAAGTCATAACACAGACAAGAGTGGGAGATAGAGTCGAAGACCAGCACACTTGAAGGACTGAGGCTTACGTACTAGTATCCTCTGGCCCCAGCAAACGCTGGCTTGCACGAAAGAGACAACAACAAAAATTGTTAAGAAGGAAAGATGTAGCAACTAAGGCTGTTGATTAATCACAGTTAACTCACGTGATTAACTAAAACAAATTAATCGCTATTAAAAAAAATTAATCGTGATTAATCGCAGTTTTAATCGCACTGTTAAACAATAGAATACCAATTGAAATTTATTAAATTTGGATTTTTTTTTACATTTTCATATATATTGTATCCTGTGTTGTAATTGAAATCAACGTGTATATTATTTTTGATTAGTTTATCATTTGTACAGTGCAAATATTTGTAAAGAAATAGTATTTTTCAATTCACCTCAGACAAGTACTGTAGTGCAATTCGTCATGAAAGTGCAACTTACAATTGTAAATTTTTTTTTGTTACATAACTGCACTCAAAACCAAAACAATGTAAAACTTCAGAGCCTACAAGTCCACTCAGTCCTACTTCTTGTTCATCCAATTACTAAGACAAACAAGTTTGTTTACATTTACAGGAGATAATGTTGCCCTCTTCTTATTTACAGTGTCACCAGAAAGTGAGAACAGGCATTAGCATAGCACTTTTGTAGCTGGCATTGCAAAGTATTTATGTGCCAGATATGCTAAACATTTGTATGCCCCTGCACGCTTCGGCCATCATTCCAGAGGACATGCTTCCATGCTGATGATGCTTCTTAAAAAAAATGTTAATTAAATTTGTGACTGAACTCCTTGGGGGAGAATTGTATGTCCCCTGCTCTGTTTTACCGGCTTTCTGCCATATATTTCATGTTATAGCAATCTCGGATGAGGACCCAGCATATGTTCATTTTAAGAACACTTTCACTGCAGATTTGACAAAATGCAAAGAAGGTACCAATGTGAGATTTCTAAAGATAGCTACAGCACTTGACCCAAGGTTTAAGAATGTGAAGTACCATCCAAAATCTGAGAGGGACGAGGTGTGGAATATGCTTTCAGAAGTCTTAAAAGAGCAACACTCCGATGCGGAAACTACAGAACCCAAGCCACCAAAAAAGAAAAATCTACCTTCTGTTCAGGGCTGGCGCAACCCATTAGGCGACCTAGGCGGTCGCCTAGGGCGCTACAATTTGGGGGGCGGCGACCACGGCAGTATTTCGGCGGCAGGACCTTCTGCCGCTTCTGTGGGGGGTGGCATTTCGGGGCGGGACCTTCCGCCGCCTAGGGCGGCAGAAAAGCTGGCGGCGCTCCTGCTTCTGCTGGTGGCATCTGACTCAGATGATGAAACGTGCATCAGTCCGCACTGCTTTGGATGGTTATTGAGCAAAACCCCTTATTAGCATGGACACACGTCCTCAATCAATGGTGGTTGAAGCATGAAGGAACATGTGATCTTTAGTGCATCTGGCACATAAATATCTTGCGACGCTGGCTACAACAGTGCTATGCAAACGCCTGTTCTCACTTTCAGGTGACATTGTAAAGAAGAAGCGGGTAGCATTATCTCCTGCAAATGTAAATAAACTTGTGTCTGAGTGATTGGCTGAACAAAAAGTAGGACTGAGTGGACTTGCAGGCTCTAAAATTTTACATTGTTTTATTTTTGAATGGGTTTTTTTGTACATAATTCTACATTTGTAAGACAACTTTCATGATAGAGATCGCACTACAGTACTTGTATTAGGTGACTTGAAAAATAGTATTTTTTCTTTTTTACAATGCAAATATTTGTAATCAAAATAAATATAAAGTGAGCACTGTACACTTTGTATTCTGTGTTGTAATTGAATATATTTGAAAATGTAGAAAACATCCAAAATATTTAAATAAATGGTATTCCATTATTAACAGTGCGATTAATCACGATTAATTTTTTTAATTGCTTGACAGCCCTAATAGCAACCAGCATGGAACTTGGAGGGAAGAGCACAGGTTGCAGAAGGAAAATGTGGTGGAGGCACCATGAACACACTTCTTATGCATGTGGGCTAGAACGCTAGCTGCAGTATCTCTGAATAAAGAGAGTCAGTTTAGTTTTAGAAACATGGTGTCCCTTCATGTTATTACTCAGCATTTGGTACATGAAAATTTCTACATCCTTTCCTGCAGACTTCCTGATTCCTCTCATTTGAGAGGTTTAGATGCCATGGTGGTCTCAACAGACATGCTGTGCTGGAAGCTGCTGCAACCAGCTTGCTCATCATTAGAAAAGGTGTTTTCCAGCAACCTTGCTGCAAAGCCCCAAGCTCAGAATCCAGTAAGCTGAAAGGCTCCCAATTCATGTGATTGATGCACCTCTTCGCCTAGCTATCAGGTAACAATCAGCACATGGTGCTATAGGTACAGGACTATTTTAAACACAATTGGCTTGTGTTTTTTTTATAACAATAAACAGGCTGAGAAGAACAATTATCTACCCTCTAAAAAGGTGCATCAGTAGTTCAGTTACAGCTTCCTGCTGCCTTTGGCTTGGATGACTTAATAAAAACATAATCCCTTGCATTAGTTTTGACTTTACACTAGCCAGTCTGTGCCCTGTTTCCCCAACACGATTGCTGGCACAAATGTACAAAGTTTTCCCCAACTGTGCCATTCTGTCTCATTCTAGTATAGAGGCAACAGTGAAATTTGCAAAAAGCGGGGGTGGGGGAGCCCTAAGCATATCAGAAAACTGACCACTTCATATTACAAAAAAGCTGGGGTGGTCACATGCAGATATCTGCAATTACATCCCTGCGCTCCAAAGCAGTTCAAGTGTTTGACCTACCAGTCTTCACAAGATCCTTTTAAATCGTATGATCCTTGAACAAGTCAATGGAATTGTGATGAGCCAGGACTCCTGCAGCCAACAGATTTTCTGGGGCATATAATGCTACAGATGGTTTCCTGTTAGAGAATATGAAGACCCGCCAAGTGACCGGTTTTATAATAGCAGAGCGCTCCAGTGGATATAATATGCAATTAGCTATCAGTTACGCTTATTTGCAAAAAGGTTAGCAGCTCTAACGCACTCTTGCTCTACCAATCAATTTTGCTTTCCCTACAGAAACTATTGCTAGGGTGGTGAAGAATTTGGCTCTGGCTTGCTCAGCTGGGGAAGGAGGATCAGACAAAAAGAGAAAGGGCACTCTTTTGCTTCAGTTCTGTTAAATTGAGTCTTTTATATCACAATAACTTATTAACATAACACCCATTAGTCATTATGACTTCATACATGTGGTCAAGATTTTGACATAATAAGAAAATCTGCAGTTGCTTGTCAAAGAGACTAAGTACATCAACTTTATTATTTTTAAATACTGTTAATTATAGTTATGCATGAAGGCAACTTTCTTGTCTGTTGAATTCCCTTGTCTGCAATGTTTTTTGTTTTTGTTTTTTTAAAGTGAAATTTATGATAAATTAGCAGGACCTCTCTAGTTCACTCCCTTCTCCCTGTTCCTTTCCACGTATTTCAGTACCACTAAAATGGACCAAATTCATCCCGTTGTAACTCCATTGCCTTCAGTGGAGATACATCAGGGATGAATTTGGCTCGGTATATTTATAGTGTTACGGTTATGATAAACAAGAGGCTGGAAATTAAGTGAAGGCCAGTGCGCCTGTCTCATGTGCTTTTACCAAGTATCGAGGCAGAGATGCACAAGAATTTAGAGCAGGTATGTCAGGCTACATTTTGTTGGCATGTCACAATCATATAATTTAAGGCTTGTTGATGTTTTCTAGAACAGACACAAGAAGAATTTTTTTCAATCTACCTTTGTTGCTGAAACCTTTGATTATTAAAACAAATTACTTTCCACCTTTAATGCCATTTACTTTTTGCACTTTGTTCATCTTATGTGCTAAAACTACACAGCAGTTTCTTTGAATCTCACGAGACAGCTCAATGCTGTTGTATATGGTTTCAAACCCCTCAGGAAACAGGATTTGTTCAAAATACACTGGGTAAAATCCTGTTCCCACTTCAGTCAGTTAACTTAAAAGAAGTTAATGGACAAAATCCTGGCCACATTTTTAAATCCATGACATCATTTTCTGTTGTAGTTAGGATTCGTAATTCCCTTTAAAAAACAACTACATATTGGGCCTAAATTAAGTGCATTTCACCCTCTATGAAATGTGTCCTTTTAAGATACAAGTCTTGAATAGAAGGAATTAAGACTCCTCAAAATGCCATCAGACATTTTTATAATTATATCTTTCCTGAACACAATCAAGTTGAATGAGCCGGTTTGTGCCTGCAGTTGACAAAGTTATTCTCACATAGCATTACTAACAGCTACTGATAAGCAAATGGCTAGGGAGCTTGTGCTAGCCTGGACAGTCAGAATGAGGCATGTGGTTGACTGTATAATGGTTTCATCTAAAGTGTGGATTCAACAGTGGCCATACTGGTCACAAATAGGCATGGAAACATTGCCTGTAGGTCACATGCTGAGATCTGCCAGAGCAGCAGCTTGCAATGCAGGATGTGCTGCCCTGATAATATGCAGATATGCAACCACTTTTTCCTATTCTCTTTTGAAAATACCAGATTTGAGCTTTACAGCATTTTAAAAAATCTCCTGCAGTTTCAAGCTTTTTAGTGCTCCAGCCTTAGGCAAGAGGTTATTTCTAACATTGGAAATAAATATAAAACGAGAAGATCTCTATAATGCCTGCCAGGTGAACATCTTTTAAACAACAGTATTCACTTGGAAGGCCAAGAAATAAGGTAACATCAACAAAACCTCAGGGAATTATTTAAAGTAATAGGACCTTTTCCCTTCATGTCACTCTACCAAAGCAATAATGAGCTGCAATTAATATTTATTTTATACTTATACAATATTTCATTTTTTGTATTAGATGGATAAAAAGAAACATATTAGCATCATATGACTATCACTCAGTTATCCAAGAACTATCAAGATTCGGTGCTATTGAATCCGTGACACCTTCTGGAAGACAAACAGCTGTAGTTATATTCAAAGACATCATTTCAGCATGTAAAGCAATGAACGCTTTCCCAGCCAATGACCCAGGCAGAAGGATCCAATGTGTTTGGCATCACAAATTCATGTCTGAATACAGAATGTCAGGCCACAGAAAGATAAAACTTACAAGTTAACAACATTTTTATTAAATTGTTTCTATATAATAATTAATACAGTAATAATCAACATCAATAAAAAGGCACAACTAGGATTTACCCCCCCAAATGAGTATTCACTTATTAAAATCCTTTCAATGAGGATAAACAGATGAGCTCCAGGAGTTTGATCTTCACCAACAATAAAAATTACAGTTTTGATTTCTTCCCAAAGAAGCTCATAATAGCATTCATGCATTCGTCAGATAACCACCTTTCCCTGAGGAGTTCACACTCTTGACAGTTAACTGCATGCAGCTTCTCCTTTTCCACACCTCGTATTAACTGCTTTGACAGAGCCAAGGACTGGGAGAAGAAAAAACAAAACAAAACAAAAGCTCACAATTTGGGATGCATACATAGTACAAGTTATGTTATTCTACACATTCCCTCAGCTCAGCATTCTGAAAAGTAGCATGTGAGAAGCACTCAATATGCAGTATCTAAACTGAACTGTAGTCCAGTTAGATTTTTAATTTAATTTGGCATTTTACACAGGGGCCTCTGCTTTAACTGCTGCTAAGACTACTTAGTAGGGTGTGGTTTCAGGAGGAACAATACATCCATCCAGTCAATGCCCAGAATGTGTGTGGACAGACAAGTGTGAATTGGGAATTTGTTAGACTACCTGCAGCTCCAAATATAAATTGAGTTTTTATAAACTGCTGGTATGAGTGTGTCTATTATGAGACCAGCTCATTATGTTTTTCTACACATTTCCAAGCAGTCAGAAAAGAGATGGACTATGGATGTAGGTTATTTTCTTTTCGGGAGAGAAATGTGTGTGCAGAGATTCAGGATTTTTTTTCTGTAGGTAGTTTGTTGGTTTGTGTAGTAATCCACTTTTGAAGGTGCTGAAGGTACCACTCCTAGGTAAGTCAGTAAAATGAATATCCCGCATGACACCAGTTGTAGCAAACTTGTAACTATTAAATAAATAAAAAAAGCTGTTGAAACCAGTATCTCTGTAAACCCTGCAGGAGTTAGCATCCAAGGCAAATGCACATAATTTTCAAGCTCATTTAACAGCTCATTTCTTAAAGGTACTTGAATGAAAAGTGATGAGCCATAAATGCAAGTGCATCTTGCCAACTTCAACCAGGATAGCCTCTGGGACTGAGGCAACTGTGACATTTATTCCTGGAGGGAAAACCATAGGAACAACCAAGCTTGAGAACACCACTTAGGTTGAGGTTTGTTATTTTTTCAATTACCAATAAAGCCAAACCCCAAAATGGTAAGTTTGGACTCTATATAGTACCCTGTTATAATGTCTGCTCATAAGAGAGCGGGAACTCTCTCTTGTTACAGGCTGTATATACACAATTTTAAAATACTAACGTTTTTGGGGAGATTTGCATAAGCTTTAAGTCTTATCCAAACTTCCTTTTCAAAAGTCCAGTCAGGGAAAACCTCAGTCACAAGTCCCTGGGCATATGCTTCCCCTGCAGTCAACTTCTTGTTAAAAAGAAGCATCTCGTTTGCCTACATGAAAGAAAACAAAAGGCTGTCAATCTAATAAAACACAAGAATTAAGAAACTAGAAAGAAAAATAGAGAAACATAAACCTCCATTTTACAATGCTCCTTTTCATAGTAGAAAAGGAAACTTAAATGTTGCCCGTTAATTTCTGTTCTCTGAAAAGGGTTTGGCCACAGGTATGCACTGAGGGATTGCATCCTAGAGCATTGTGGGTAGCTGTACAGCTGTCAGAGAATCTGGCACAGGAAGGGCCGTCCCCTCTAAGATCACCCCAGGTTAGCTAATGTCAAAACTAATTGTTACTTACTCAGCTATTCTAAATTCTCCAGAACAGGGACTGGCACTCTGTAAATTGCTAAAGAGATAATCCTTGTCTTCCTAGTGACTATAAAGCACCCATTTCCCTATGTACTGTACAAAATCGTCATAATTTATATTGAGAAATGTTGTTAACATAAAGGCGCAATATATACCTGATATAGCTATTTAAAACTGCCAGAACTATCACTGTGGCATACCTAAATAACAGCTATTGGGAATTATGCAACTATAATAGGAAGATAAGAGCTGCTCTATTTTGATTGTGTGCATTTAAGCCTTTTTATTGGATTTTTTTTATTCCTACTGCAGGCTCAGAAGAGAGAAATGCATGAGTCTGTGGATAGGAGACTAACAAATAACTCAGCCATTAACAGGTAGTAGAGAAAGGTTCTGGAATTTGTGAAAAAGCTTCCTAACAAAACTGAGGAAAGACTGAATATATAGTTTTCCCAAAGGTTCAGCAGGAGTACCTACAACTACTGCTCCCTGCCTGACAGAGCTGCTCAGCTGAGGGGTGCTTTTTAGTGCAATATCCTTCCTGACAACTTTACAACTGCCCTGGCACTGCTGGAGGAAAGATGCAAGCCCTCAGTGAAAGCTGAGACACATGATTTGGGGGGAAAGGGAAGAGAGAGAAAGGTTGCATACCTTTGGCTGTGGATTTTTTTTCTTTAGTTTTGATATTCAGTTCTCTTTATTTCAGTGCCCATGATGCTACTATTTGACTACTTTCCTCATGTTTAAAAAAATGAAAGTTTTATTAAGCAGAGTGCAAACCACAATGGGAGTGGGCTCCATTTAAACGACTCTCCCACAGTCACCCTTCTCACTCATGTAGCTGGATGGCACTACTGAGGAAAACTGGAGTTCAGTTAACCTAGGCAGAAAGCACTGAGTTAAAGTACAGACTTGTGTTCTCTTACCTTGGATAAGCCCATTATCTTTGGGAACATGTAAGAAGAACATCCTTCTGGACTCTGGCCGAGTTCACTAAATGGGGTGTGAAACGTGGCCTATTAAAGAGTAAATCCAACTTTAAAGTGAGGAATCAAACATTAAATTTGTCATTTTAAATAGAAGAAAAATACTAGAGTCTAGTTTTTATGTTAAAGTCTTGACTACAATGGAGTTGCACCAGAGATTAATTTGATCCATTACTTTTACAGGCTTTAAAACACAATTTAGTAACATGGGTGTTCACCCACACCAATCCTGAAGGGGTTAAAGGTAGGTTAGATGGGCCAACTAAACACATAGGCTGCACCTAAAGGGAAACTAGGGATCAATAAAGTTTAATTAAGGATGAAGCTCACCTGGGCAGGAACAGGTGGGGGCGCTTATAAAGCTAAGAAGCTGAGAACAGAAGGGGGAGAGGGGACAAGGGGAAACTGCATGTAATCAATCACTTTCTGACAGAAGGGAGGTTTGTCAGATTACAGAGTCCAGCAAGAAGCCAAAGGGGGAAGCAGTCATAGGGAGAAGAGGAAGCTTAGATGGGGGCAAACTCAGAGGTACCAGAGGATAAAATGAGGGAGTAGGACAGAGCCTAGGGAAGTAGTAACCAGGGCTGGGAGCAAGTAGATCATAGTGCAGAGCACAGGGTCCCTGGGCTGGCACCTGGAGTCATAGGTGCTGGAACTAGGGGTGCTACTGCAACCCCTGGCTTGAAGTGGTTTCCATTACATACAGGGTTTATAGTTTGGTTCAGTGGCTCTCAGCACCCCCACTATACAAATTGTGCCAGCACCCCCGCCTGCAGTAGAGGGCAGGCCCGGGTTCCCCATCAGCCACTGGGAAAGAGGCACAGTCTTGGACATAGAACAGGGGACTGCCTGGAACTGCAGAGACACAGCTTGTTCAGAGAGACACAGACAGACCTCTGCAAGGGGAGAACTAAAGTGACACCACCTAATAAGGAATCAATAATGGTATAACAAGCTCATTTACAGGAGACCCAAGGCAGGAACCAAGAGTTACAAAGGGCCCAATTCTGGCAGTGAATTTTATGCACAGAGTGCTTGCAGGACTGGACCCTAAATTTGACTACTGAAAGCCTTTTGGAAAAAACCACCCCTAACTAATACGTATGTGCAACACTTTTCCATACAGAATATTTACATACATTTCCCCCAGAAGTTCAATAGTGTAAATAGCATAAAGACATGCAAAAATATCACTTCTGAACACAACAGTTCTTAATTTATAGCAATACAGATAAGTTGTCTGTAAAGGATCATGGCTTTTTTTTTTTTTTTTAAACATTGTAAGACTTTTCTCCCCACTTAAATTCTATTACACACTTGCTTCAGAGCTGAAACCTTGAACATTTTAATAAAGAAGTTATGGCAAAAGTGCACAATGTGATGTCACACAGTACCCTAAACTAGCTCCAAGTTAAAACTCATTTACAGGGTAAAAAAAATTGAACTGCTGGATTTCACTGAGTATCTCCTATTTTAAAAACATAAATGTACATGCAAATTGAGTATGAATCTCAAGTTTCTGCCAAGTTTCCAATACCGCCCTCATTGTAATAAAAGGCTGGGCACCTCTACTCTATTACAAACAGTTATACGGTGAGACAATTAAATAAGGTTTCATTTAAAAAAGACGTACTGTATACTAATTTGTGCATGTAATATATCGAATCTTAGAATGATGAACTACTATCCAACAGATTGGCAGAAAAAGTTTGATTGATATAAATGCTGAAGAAACAATCTGAGACTGGTACCCATTAAGAATTACTTTTTTAGCTCAGGAGGTAATAGGTTGTCTTAAAACAAAACAAAAACAAAACAAAACGTAGAGTTTTTATATCTTAGGTTTGCCTCAAATACGATGTGGATTCATTTCTCTTCCAAAACTTCTTTTCTATCTGAGTATGGACCTTCTGTACCATTAGATAATGGCAATAAATATGCCAGCCATGTAAATTTGAGAGAACATCTCTCTCATTTTATTAGCATGGGGTATCACATTCAGTTTAAAATTTATCTTCTACTCACACCAAACCTGGACACAACTTCGAGCACCATTATAGGACTCAGTTTTTGTACAATATCAAATGTGAGATGGTAACAATACATCATTTGTTCTATTTAATGTTTACCAGATTTTTGTTGGGGAAGTTCAGCAAAGGAATCTGGCAATTCAGGGTTTGCTGCCACAGCTTCCTTGGCACAGAGAACA